AAAAAAGCCCCCATGAGACAGGCAGCCATTATTGTCATGGGGACTTTATAGATAAGGCAGCCAAGGCAGGGTAAGACGAAATAACTTCTCTGTGGCTGCAGGGCCCAGAGTCACCAAGTCTGGGTTTGAAAGCAAGGCCCATGAAGTCTAAAACTCCTGCTTAACTCCCTTGAGACAGCTTCATAGCCTGTCTGTTATCTTTTGAAAATGTCCTTCATATTTTTTCTTTTCTCTCCATTTCCACTGGCAAAGCTCCTGCCCATGCCCTTCTGATGCATCACCTAAATGGGTGCATATTTTTAAAACATTCCCTCCTCCCCCTTCTCGCCATCTGCACCTGCAGCCTGGTTCATCTTCCAGAACCTCATTCTCCTCGTGGAGATTTTCCTGCTCAACAGCCTGGACTAAAGGCAAAATTGAATTCAAGAAAAGATACGAAAGCAACAACGTTTATGAATAAAACCATGAATTGCTTCTTTCAATAAAAATGAAAAACTTCTAGCTAGTGTAATAAAAAGCGAGGGAGGAAGGGGGAGAAAATACAAATCTACAGCATTTAGAGTGAAAGATAGAGTCCAAGTCCAGGTTTGGAGAAACTTAAAACAATTGTCAGCCTATTCTATGTGCTACTTGAAGCTCATAACTTTGAAATTCAGGGACATAATGAGAGTTTTTAGAAAAAGGTTAATACAAATTAACTTAAGGAGAAAATTTGAACACAGAAATAACTATGAACAAAATAGAAGAAAAGTTATCAAAAAACTACAACTAAGAAAGGTACTAGGCTCCTTCGATTTTAATAAGCAATGTTTTCAAGCAACTGATCATTGTGATCATACTTAAATGTTTCCAGGCCATGTAAAAATATGAAAAGATAATTATAAGTTGTTTTGTGAAGCATGAATAGCACAGACATTTAAATCTGAGAAATATAAGACAATAACAACAGACCAATATCCTTGATGAACATTGTGGCACAGACTAGCTATTTACCAAGTTAATGCAGAGATACTGCTGGAAATGGCTCTTCAGCCAGAGAATGCCTTTCTCAGCCATATGTCCTACTCTCATGATGGAATGTAAGTGGAAGGCACGTGTTCATTTCCAGGTTGAGCCTTTTTAATAAGTGAGTGAGCCTTCTCGTTCTTTCTTTCCCTTTCACTGGATGTCTTCAGAGGATAACAAAGATCTAGGGCAGAGATGGGTAAACTAAGTCCTGTGTGCCTGCTGCCTGTGTTTGTAAATAAAGTTTTATTGGAACACAACCATGCCCATTTGCTTACCTACCGCCCATGGCTATTTTTCTGCTAACCTCAGAACTGAGTAGCAGAGACAGAGACAGCCTAAAGTATTTACTATCTGGTCCTTTGAGAAAAAGTACCACCCTCACTCTGATAAATTACTAAGATAAATTATTAAATACATCATAAAATTATGGAAAAAATAAAATAAAACTAGACCTTAAACCAAGTACTTAAATAATTTTAGATGCACTAAGTATGGTAGAGCAACAAGACTGAAGGAGCCTGCCATGGAGGACAAGCTATGGCTATGGAGGAAAACCCTCCCTGGGCTGTTCGTGAACAAGAAATAAACTTTTCTTGTTAAGCTGCTGAAGTTTTGTGGTTTGTTTTGCAGATAATGTTATCTCAACGAATTGCAAAATAGATGAAAAATCCCAAATAAAATACTAGAAATTTCTAAAAGAAAAAAAAATTTTTACGGAAGATTTTTTTTCCAGAAATTCATGGAAGACTAGGAAAGGCAACAACAGCATATTACTAGATCAAAGAAGAAAATCTATGTCATCACCTTTTCATACATTTTGAAGGTGCTTAAAAAATTCAGAATCCATCTTGCAAACTACTATTAGTGGAACAGGAATAGGGAAGTACTTCCTTAGAATATCTATCCTATAACAAAAGCTTATAACATATATAGAGGTGAATGACTAGAGAAATTCCCATTTAAGAGGGAAACAAAACAAAAATGTATGTTATCATCAATGTAACAAACATAACATAATATAATATTGCTTTTGAAGCATTGGCAATGCACCAATAATAATAGCATTCTGCTATGTAATATATCCATAAATTATATATTAACATATAATTTATTATATAACACAGATGTGTTTTATATATTTCATATATATGATTTGATATATAAGATAAATATTTATATATGATATAGACATTTTATATATTAATAATAAAATTTTATTTGTATAATATAGTATATTTGACTTTATAACATATAATTTATATAAAATTTATGATTTATAAATAAAAATGTATAATATATTTATAAATAAAATATATAAAAATTATATGCAATTTGTTATTGATGTATTACATATACTTTTAGAAATGATATTAATTACATAATGTATTAATACATGGTGTTGCTTTTCAAGTACCAGCCAGTGAACCAAGGCAGAAAAAAAATGAAGCAGGAAACAAATTTCCACTATTTGGGCTATGTGATTGTGCACCTAAGCAACTTGAAATGAACTGAAGAACTATTGGAACTAATTAAGGGAATCTTCAAAGATGCTCAGTTACAAAATAAATGTGCAAAATTAATAGGTTTCTCATTTCCTAGATGTCAGCAATAATTGATATGACTTTACTTAAAAAAACAACAAACTTTCCTAAGAGAACTAAAAGAAGACTTGAATAAGTAGAGAGGGATACTGTATTTCTACCTTGGAAGATTTGTATATTTTAAACATATGAATTCACCTTACAGTAACCTATACATTTGCTGCAATTCCAAACAAAATTGTAACAACACTGAAGTTGGCATATGAAAAGCAGATTCTAATTTTTGCCTTAAATACACTTGTGAGAGTAGCCAAGAAACATTAGAAAAATCAGACCAATGTAAAGAAACTTTTAAAGACAGATACTAACACAAATTATTAAACACATCATAAAATTATGGAAAAATAAAACTAAACCTGTATCTTAAACCAAGTACTTAAATAATTTTAGATGCACTAAGAATTTAAATGTAAAAATAAAATTATATAAATATTAGAAGACAATCTGGGTGAATAAAGCCTATATTCTTGAGCTAGGAAATATTTTCCATAAAAACAAATTCAGAAGCTACAATGAAAAAAATGAATAGAAATTAAAAACTGCTATAGGTAAAATTCACTACACACAAAATCAAAAGACCAAGGACAACTGGCAAAAGGATGTATAATACTATGACAGACCTGGGGTTAGCATTTTTTGCCTCAAATATAAATCGCATAGACAAAGCAGTATGAGAGGAACATGCCCAGCAGAAAGAAAGAGGAAAAGCCATGAATTGCCAATGATGTATAATCACATGGGAAAATATAATCTCACTATAAACCAAAGAATGCAAATTAAAAGGAGATCTTTTGCCTATCATATAAAAAGTAAATCATAAATTTACATGCATGGAACAGAATGTTTTAAGAAATGATAAGAGATGCCCGATGGAGATTTTTTTCTGTCTGAGATCTTATCGGAGTGAAGATGGAGACAGTGCACTCTTGAGTACCCTAAGCCAAGTTCAAAGGCGCGGGATATTTAGTGGGGAAGGAGAGAGGGAAGGAGAGAGAAAACGGCAGTGGGATATTTAAGTGGGCACTGAGAGATGAGTATATTGCCTATCCTGGAGTTGCTATTTTCATATTTGCAAGTTCCAAAGGCAAAATTCACATGACTTCTGAAAAGCTGGGACATAGTGAGATTTTAGACTGTGAATAAACTTGACGTTCAGTTTCACAATAAACTTAGTTTTGGATAAAATGCCCTTATATATACTTTTTGACAAGGTGTCAAAACACTTAAATACATATTGCTTATTAGAATCTATCAGCAGTTCTCATAGCTGTTTGTGCACATAACTAGAAGAAAGTGAGGTTGCCTATGGGAATTTTAAGCTCCCCTTTCTCTCACCCCCCACCCCCCGCCTTTTTTTCAAGACAGAGTCTCACTCTGTTGCCCAGGCTAGAGTGCAGTGGTGTCAGCCTAGCTCACAGCAACCTCAGACTCCTGGGCTCAAGCAATCCTTCTGCCTCAGCCTCCCGAGTAGCTGGGATTACAGGCATGCGCCACCATGCCTGGCTATTTTTTTCTATATATTTTTAGTTGTCCAGCTAATTTCTTTTTGTATTTTTAGCAGAGACGGGGTCTCACTCTTGCTCAGGCTGGTCTGGAACTCCCGAGCTCAAACGATCCACCCGCCTCAGCCTCCCAGAGTGCTGGGATTACAGGTGTGAGCCACCGCGCCCGGCCCCCTTTCTACTTTTTACAATAGTTTTTCCAGGTTCCAGCCCAGACCCTCCACGAATAAATTCAGCACTCCGCAGGCTGTTTGGGTCCACTGGTGTCAATTGTTCAAAAAGTCTATGAAACGATTTTATACAGTGTAAGACAGAATGAATGTCGTGTCTCCTCCTAGAGTATTTGCACTTTGGCTTCAGGGGGCACGTGAGCCTGGTTGAAGAGCTTTCACCGTGTGACATGCACTTCACTCCCAGGAGCCTGTGAGCTGGGCAGGGTTGGGTTTTGTCATACCCATCTCAGTGAGGCGAAGTGACCTGGGCAACTGAGCTGGGAGCCCGGGTCTTCTGGTTTGGGGCCAGTGCTGCTTTCTTGTACTCCTCTGACCCTTTATAAAAGAAGAAGGCTGAAGAGGGCTGTAGTCATGACTCCTAAGTGATAGAACCTAACAGGGGAGATGTTTTGAGGACTATGTCTGGTCAGGTTCTCAACCTGCCAGAGCAACTAGAGCAAAATCGGCCTGTGTTGACTTGACCCTACAGGGTGTGTGGATAGGGGTTGGAAGAACCCTCCCAGGACCTGTGGTTATGAGGAATGCACCGGGACAGCCACCATGGCATGGCTCTTGTCCTGGGAGAAGCCCCCACCTCCAAAGTCCCTAATGCGTCAGAGCTCAGGCTGCCCTGGATCTCGGGCGCCGGGGACAGGCACGCGACATGCTCCAGCTACCTTTTATGGCCTCTTTCACAGCAGAATCCACAGGGAGAATGTTCTTCTCCACCAGCTCCAGTGGCCCCGGTCGGAGAGCAATTTTTTCATTGAGATCGTCTGCAAGTCGGGCTCTTTTCAGCTTCATCTGAGCAGTTGGAATGGAACTCTCTGCAGTGGAGGCTGAGGGGTTGAAGTTTGAAGTGAAAAGGATCAGTTCTAGAATTTGATGTGGTTTTCCTTTCTTTCTTTCCTTTTTTTTTTTTTTGGCTTGTGGTTACAAACATTGTGTCACATTGTACTCTACCATCCTAATAATTTTTCAATGCAATCGTCATCACCTCACAAGAATTAGCACCAAAGACCAGACACTTCCAAATAAAGGCAAACACAGAGGAACATAGAAAAGTTGGAGAAACTTGCCTTGCGAGGATTTGTGAAAAAAATGTGCAATTTGGCAATTTTGTAAGCAAGCAGTCTGTGGGGCCTACGTTGCTTGCCTGATCCTAAGCTACAGCATTTGGGTGCACATTCAGTAGACAGGCATAGGCTGAGCCTGCAGTAAATATGACCTACTGTCAAAATTAGTAGTTGTAGTATGACTGTTGAAAGAGTTTTAGACTAGTCAACGCTGTGCTAGTGAGTCAAATATCCAGGTCAGTTGTAAAAGAAAAATGCATTTGTTTGAAACAGTTACTTAATTGAACAATGGAATTTTTAAACATTAAATTTTCTCATCAATTGAGGGGTGAGAAAGGTCATGTACAGAGCCCTACATCTATCTTCATGTAGCTGACACCAAATTTTCTCTTTAGACTGGGCCCCGCCTTATTTCTGTGAAAGAAGTAGGAGGAAAATGAAGTCAAAGAACTGTAAGTTAAGATTCTACAAGAGCTTGCAGCTTCACTCTCTATTGCGTACATTTAGAAGGCGAGATATTTACCGACAGGACTCTCAGCGCCACTATTTTGTCATTATCAATCTCCTAATCCAGACCTTGTGTCTGGCACTGATCTAGAATTTTCCATGCAGAAGAAGTCTAGGGATGGCTCATCGGTTGCAACAGATGGGCCTTGTCTAGAAGCTGCATCTGCGAAGCACTTCGCTTGAGACTGAGGAAACGTCCATACTCCAAACCAGAGAATGGGGCAGCCTCAGCCTAAATCCTCTCCAAGCCACCCCGTAGAGGTCCTTGCAAAGGCTTGTTGCTGGAGCCCATCCTGCACACCAACTCAGGACTTATCTTCAGAAAGTCCTCCTTTCTTTTAGTAACCCCCTACGAGATGCTCCCCTCCATCCAAGTCAGTTTTTCAAGATTACTGGAAACCAAATCCACCTTCCGTCATGACCTGAGGCTCTCCATGCCAAATCTAGCACTCCAGAGAGCCCGGTCTTTTCCGTCTTCCCTCTGTGTCTTACTGAGTTCACCTTTGCACCTTTGCTCACTTCATTTCTCCACCTCGAACTGCTCCTCCTCCACTCCCCACCACTAACATCCTACTTTTGGGTCCCAGCATAAAGCATTCCAAATTCTCTCTGTTCTAACAGATCCCTTTTGCTTTGACCGCCACCAGCTGCTACAAGCACTGGCCCTTCATCTTGTTCCTTCTGAAATTAGATGATGAATTCCTGGGGGCAGGGGTTTAAATTGCCCTTGATAATATTAATAAAAGGCCATAACATAAGGTGGGTACTGTGGTAGGGGCCTGAAGTCTGCAAAGGTATAGGTATACACATGTATATATACATATACATACATACATATATAGGGCCATCTGCATATATACATATACATACATACATATATAGGGCCATTGTTCCCTGGCTTGCTCTTCTATAATTGCTTACTACTCAGGAGTCACATAGCTGCTGGTCATGAAGATTCTTAGCTTTCTTCATTGCTCCTATGGATAACATCACCCTTGTGAAACCTAAGGCTGATCTTTGAGATGTCTTCCAGGCCCTGCATTCCAGTGGACCAACTGACCCAGGCAGACCAATGGCCCATACCAACGAACTAACTCAATTGGTCCTGGGAATTGACTCAGCACAAGAAGATAATTTCTGCTGCCTGACCCTATGAGTTCATCCCCAGCCAATCAGCAGACCCAATTGGCTAGCCCTTTGTCTACCAAACTATTTTTAAAAACCCTGGCCCCCAAATTCTCAGAGGGACAGATTTGAGAAGTCCCCCCCACCATCTCCTCTCATGACGCCCTGTGATACTAAACTCTTTCCCCTCTGGAACCCCTGCTGTCTCCACCTACTGATTTCCTGTTGAGCAATGGGCAACGAACCTGGTTGGGTGGTAACAAGGCTATTTAGTATCTAGCAGATCTTTGGTGCTCCGAGGTGCTAATTTCCAATTTCTGCTGGGGAGAAGGGGGGATCCCACGAGAGCTGCCAGAGACTTGCCACTGCACCAGGCGATGCTGTGGTTCACACCCTGATATTTTGATTCAAGACTGTAATGATGTAAGAAATAACATTTCTTATGCTTTTTGGATTATAGCATTGGTATGTACTCATAAATGTGAAAAATGCTAACAGAGTACACCAAAACAAAAACGAAAGTCTCAGGAATCTCCCCATTTAGAGTCAACTATTTTTAATACTTGGGTATATTTGTTAGCATTTTGTATTTATTGTTAGGTCTATGTTTTTTCTTCCCAGAATCTGACTGTAACTACGGTATATGTTTAAGTCTACATTTTTTCTTCCCAGAATTTAGTTGCAAATATAGTTTTGTTTACTCCTCTTTTCACTAAATGTTGTAATCCTTTTCTCATTAAATCATTGTTCTCTGCAAGCCTCGTCTGCAGTTGGTGCCTGGTATTCAGTCACATGGATGATCCACACTTTATTCAGCCAATCACCTGTCTTTGCACATTTCACCATTTTCAATGTTTCACCATCTAAAGTAATCCCATGATAAACATCATTATAACAAAAATCTTTGTGTGTCTGATTATTTTCTTCATACAAAATACTAGACATTATATGACAGGGCTAAGGGTGGGCACGTTTTTGAGGAGTCCGATACCCTTTGCCAAACTGCCCTCCCTCCAGCAGTGCACGAGAATGCACGCACTTCCCACACCCGTGCCACACACAGTATTTATTTTGATTTGCTAACCTGATCGTTGAAAAGTCTGTATCTCATTTGAAATGGCATTTCTTGGATTATTTGTGCAGCTGTGATTTTGTGCTGACACAGCAGTTGCTTCTAGGCTCTTAGACACCATGGCAAAGAAGGTAAGAATTTTATCACCTCCCCTTGAGAGCCATGGTTCCCTGTTCCTGAGGTGCTTGGCACCCTTTGGCTGCCTCACGCCGGTCAAAGCCTCCCATCCCACACAGTGCTTCCCTTGGGTCCTCCGTTGTCCCCTTTCTCTCTCTTCCCTACCCTGAAAACAGTTCTCTGTCTGATGATACCCCACCTATTCCTGGGCTGGAAAAGGGTCAGTCAGCCTTGGAAAGGCAGAATAAAATCAGAAGTGATGCTGGTCAAAGAACCACGATGCAAAGTTCCCATGATATTTCAGGACCTTTCACGCTACTTAGAGCTAGCGTCCAGTCCTGCAAGGAAACCCGCGTTCCAGAGGAACAGCACTCCCGTCTCGTACATGCTGTTCCCTCACGCTGCAACGCCCGTGCGTCCCTCTCTACCTGACTCAGCCCCTACATTCCAGCTCATTTCCTCGCTCCTCCCCTCCACTCTCACTCTCTGATCCTCCCCAGCACACCCCAGCACCGTGGTGCATTTCCTCTCTTTTCCTGCTGGATTGTAAATGTCATTCTCATGTCCTCTGTGATATTATGAGGATCCTCTGAGGGCCGGAGCCTGTGCCTTGTTCGTCACTGTACCCACGAGGTCTGGCAGAAAAGCCAACTCCTAGCAGACATTGAATACACAGTGCATGCAGTGAATAGAGTCCCCCAAACTGTGAACTTAGGGGTTGGACCTCTTTGAAGGTGGGCACCAATGGGCTGGGGCTGGGGTCTTCATCCCAGGGGAGGCAACTCATCAGGTGGGCCTAGAAGCCTCTCCTCACCCAGATGTCAGGATGTGGGGGCCAACTAGGTGCTTGTCTTATCTCACGCTCGCCAGCACAGAGGCAGCACCCCTAGATGAAACTGGGCCCGCCTTGGCCAGCACCGATTTTCTCAGATTGTGGTTCTGTGCACACCAGAACATAAAGGCATCAGCAAAACACAATCAAACGGTTCCCTAGTGGGTATGGATGCAGCTAGGGAGGAGCCCTGATACCATTTTACAGTGAGTGATGATCCACATTAATAATAATTGGCAACATGTGTTGGACATTTCCTATGAGCTCCTAGAGGTGATGTGATTTTCCCAGGCCTTAGAATTAGGAGATGGCACAGCTGAGATTGGAACCCGAGTCTCACACCTTCTTAACTGTTACATGGCTTCCCGATTTGATTGTCTGTTATAGCCTAGATGCTCAGATGACTGCTTGAAACCACCATTTTGTGACGGCAGGGGAGATTGTTAAGAAGGCTTAGCAACCGTGCAGAGACAAAGAACACTGGAGAAATGGCCCGCCATTCGACAGGCATCTCCTGGTTTACGATTTCGTGCAGCCTTACCTTGGAGTATATGCATATTAACCAAGTCGGCACGTTCGGGCCTGTTTCGGGCTTTGTGCTTCAAGGAATTTTCAGTCTGTAAAACCCAAACAAAGAATCACCCAGTTTTACCTTTTTACAAAAGATCAATTTCTCTCAAAGGGGAAATGTACTTTTTTCTAATGACAAATGGAACATGCAACTGTCCCGGGTCTCCTACACTTTGATAAAGAAACACTAACAAAAGCTCTTCCAGTAATTTTCATGTGGGAAAGAAAATAAGATGAAAAAGTAAAAATTGGGGGTACACATCAGGACTAACAAACTTAAAGGCCTTCTAGGGCTAGGCACATAGGTACATGTCAATAAAATATTAATATAACAGTCCGTGATACTAAGCTGCCTAGATTATAATCAATCCTATTCCACTGCCTCTTAAAGTAGTCACAAAATTAACCCAGGTTGGAGATGAAACTGCCCAAATCCATCCCATATAACATAACAACATATGATTCTTCCTGTTCCTCGCCTGGCGGACGTGTCAAAGTGTAAAGCCTGCAGATTCAGACCCACTGAGAGTCGGAAGGGCACTTAGAGGCAGATCATTTACAGAGCCGCACTCCCTTCTCTACGGTGGGGTGTCTGCAGGGAGGCTGTAGAGTATGTGCAAAATCTCCCCCTCAAATGTTAAAAAGAAGTAGGGAAATAAACATTCCTTTTGCCATCAAGTAGCTGAAAATAAGCTCTGTATGCATAGACCCTACCTTACCAATAAATTGGATTTAACCAAATCTGATTGCTGCTAAGAAAGGACTGTAGTAACAGGGAAGGCAGCTTACAAACCAACTTTACTTCCTTTTTAAGGTCTTTTAAACCTCTACTAGCTGTGATTTCTCCCAACATCAGAGAGATTTGGGACTTTTTTTAAAAGCTAAAAAAGTAGCAGTTTTAGAGCTAATATAGTCGATCCCGTTTCTACAGGCTTCAGTTAATAGGAGTAAGATTCCATATGATGTGGGGGCAGGGGACTGGCAAATGGATGGAGTTCGTTGTAGAAATTCTACGTGCGTCAGGTGAAGTTTAGCATTCAGAGATCAGTCACCCACAGGCTAAGCTCAGGAAAGGTAGTTTGCAAAAATTACCTTGTCACTATCCAGATTTTTTCTCTGCTCATGGAATTCAGTTGGACTTCTCAGTGCTGAAACAGAAAGACAAAGACATGAGCAGAGGCTGGGGGAGGGGCATGGGTCGGCGTGGCGGGGTTTGCTGGTGTGCTTGCTCAGCTAGGCACAGGATGGAGGTGACGGCCTTTAATAGGCCACAAGCAATCAAAAAGGACAGGCCTGAAGGACGCCAGCGGCCCTGAAGCCATAGAAGACAGAGGAAGGTGGAACTGAGGCTTCAAACAGAGGGAGCGGCAGAGGCAGAATGTGCAACAGGAAGAGAAGTGCTAGACACAGGGCATTCCAAGTTCCTGAGGAAACAGAGGGGGCCGGTGGGAAACTGGGCACAGAAATAACACTCTTGTTTGGAGGAGAGGGGTAGACTGGGGTGACTAACACCCTCTTTGACTCTGCTCTGCCCTTGTGTGCAGGTGCTGGGTCGATGGCTGTGATCTGTGTCGGGGGGCGGGGGGTGGGGCCTTGGCTTATTGCAAGAAGGGACTGTACTCTGGATAAAGTACGTGGCTGGTAGGTCAGGGACATGCAACCCAGGGTGTTGAGTGAGAAGCAGAGAATCAGACTTTGAGGGCTGGAAGGAACCTTGGAGACAGGGGAGTCTAACTCCAACCTTGAACAGAATGAGGAAACTGAGGTTCACAGAAATGGAATGACTTGCCTAGGGTCACAAAGTTAGGGCTAGGGGTGTGGGTCCTCTGACAACCCTAATTCCTTTAGAAGTGTGATGTTTAAAATATTAACAGCCAGTAGACACAGGCACTGGTCAGTCATATATAACACACAGCAGCCGTGAACACCCTGGACCGGGTGCCAGCCTCCACTCTTTCCACTGCATCCTCCTCATCACCATTTCACAGCCACCTCTTGGTGGTGACTTGGTAAACTCCTTTGACCGAGCAAAGAAGAAGATTATTCTGCAAAATTCTATGTTTCGCATTAATTTTCCTGGTCCCCTGGAACAATCTCAATCAGGAACCACATATGATTGCTTTTCATAGTAAGTGATGAGTTTGATTAGTGGTTACAGAATTGCATTAATTTCCCCTCCCCCCCCATGAATTGTAAGTCTAGACAAGTTGATGCATCACAGGATCCAGAGTTCTAATATTACTCTAATAGATGTCTACCTTGAGCTGCAAGCAATGAAGTATTCTTCCAAATCATGGCCAGCATAGAAATTAGGTTCTTAGCCAGATCTCTGTGTGTGTGTGTGTGTGTGTCCATGCATGTCCACACAAGTGTGCCTCATTCAATCCTCAAGGCCATGCTAAATCTGAACACTGTTTTCAGCAGGGCTTGCTGGACATCAAGCAGACATGGCTGTGGTCCTGGTGGCCATCATAGTGGTGGTTGACCATATTATACTCTACCAGGATGCTGCTTGGGAAGTTAATGAGACATGCTCTCTCTGGATCTCCCTGCTCACCTCAACATTAACAATGTTGACCAAAGGAACATGCAGAACAGTCCCAGATGGCTGCCTTGTGCCAAATATAGTTGACAGGCATGCTACTCCTCACCTTGACCAAAGATTAAGAGGTTCCCTTCTTACAGGAAATAAATAAATATGTTGCTTGAATATTACATTTCCCTGTGACCTGGAAACTGATTTTCCAATTTCTCTTTGATTGATGCTTTTCACTCTTAAAATGGGATTCTCTGCAAAACCAGTAATTTTTTTTTTTTTTTTTTTTGAGACACAGTCTCGCTTTGTTGCCCAGGCTAGAGTGAGTGCCATGGCGTCAGGCTAGCTCACAGCAACCTCAAACTCCTGGGCTCAAGCGATCCTTCTGCCTCAGCCTCCCAAGTAGCTGGGACTAGAGGCATGCGGCACCATGCCCGGATAGTTTTTTCTATATATATTAGTTGGCCAATTAATTTCTTTCTATTTATAGTAGAGATGGAGTCTCGCTCTTGCTCAGGCTGGTTTTGAACTCCTGACCTCGAGCAATCCGCCTGCCTTGGCCTCCCAGAGTGCTAGGATTACAGGCGTGAGCCACTGCGCCCGGCCAAAACCAGTCATTTTAGATGGTACTTTCTCTCCCCATTTCTTGCTATTCGGTGATTCTGAGAAATAAATGTGCAGCTCCACTGTGTTGCTCATGCATTTTCCTTGTTTTGGGTCCAGTCACCAATAATAAGGAGATTTGCCTTTCCCTACATTTGGTCACAGCTGGAGTTTATGCTGAGGGTGTTCTGAAAGGCAGCTCTCATTTCCCCCAGGCAACCAGATTGTGCAAGGTCTGCTTGAAGTCTAGCTGCCCTTCTGAATCTGCACAATCTGCACCAAGAGGTCTGCAACCCCGTCCCATTGCCTGGTAAGCACTTAGTTAGGTGTCATATATTAAAGTAGCTTATTACTTACACAATCCAGAAAAGGAATTGATCTTGGTGTGGCCTTATTAAGTGGTTAAGAATAATAACATACCCCTTTCCTTAAGAAGCTCCCCGAAGGGAACTGTAGGAATATATCTTGAGATATTCCTTATATTCCAAACACAATTGGTTTTATGTGGGCTTGGGACTTAGGGGAATTTTATCTGGTTCTTTTGTCCCTGAGACTGTTCAATTCTTATTACCAGAGCTTATTAATTGTTCAAAGAAACACTGCATTTCGTGTGTCTTAGCTTTGTAGAGCTACAATTCATCACTTCTTGATGTTAACAACTCCCCTGTGAAATGATTCACACAGTCTAGTTCTCTGATGCCAAGAGCATAAAGATCTTCTGGAACCTTCTACCACAGGGAGGGAGAAACTATGCCCATCCAGCAAGGACTTGGGAAGAAAGCCCAAGTGGTCCACATGCTGCATTTTACCACATGCCTTTCTCCTCAGGGCTTAAGGGGTGCTATATGGGGGACTGGCTTAAGGTTCCATCATGGAAAACTACCCTGCCACAGCCCTGGGGTTGAGGTTGGCCTTCTCTGTGACTCCAGAGATTGTGGGTTTGAGCCACCTCCCCTGAGGGCCAGCAAAAGCCACGATGTGCCCCGCTTCCTGGTGGACTTTTTGGAAAATACACGAAGAAACACATTTGCTGCCAGCCAACCCTAGGAGTATCTAATGGCAAAATGTTGTATTTAGAGGACATTGACATTTAAGATTGAAAAAGGAATTTGGGTTTCTAAATTAAAAAAACAAGTCCATGCAGATGTCAAATTAAAATACTGTTGCAAATTCAGTCAGCCACACAGCTAACTCGTTCCCCCCGGAGGAAGATTAATCTCTCCTCACAAGGGAATCCGTGTTCTCGCCTCAGAGTTTCGTTGTGGGCTATTCCTATTTCTGTCCCCAGAGCTCTGGCTAATTTGGGTCAGCTGTGTGTATAAACATTTGCTTACTTAAGAGCTTAGAAAAAGATCCTGAGATAAGGACAGGCCTCCCGCAGTCCCCCACTCTCCATTCGAACCTCCTGCCTCCAGCGGTATCCTAGACAAAGGCGCAAACAGGCCACAGGGACACTAAGTGCTCAGAGAGGGCAGGGCCCGGCTCCTCGGCACAGGGCGGGTGCCTGGTGCAGGGCCAGCTTCCCTCAAGGGGACCCCTCACTACCAGGCTTGGAGGGAGCCCAGTTCCACTGCTACTGAGAGGACTAAGAGGCAGAATCCAAGAGCCAGGGACGTGGGGCGGCAAAGTGTGGCCCCTGGACCCGCAACCTCAAGCATCAACTGGAGGCTCATTAGAAATTCCAATTCTTGGGCCCCAACCCGGACCTACAGAACCAGAAGCTCTGGGGGTAGGTAGGACCCAGCGTTCTGTGTTTTAAACAGCCTTCCAGACAGTTCCGATCTGCGTGCTTGAGAAAATTTCAGTGGACTTTTATAGGGCCAGCGAGTCCTGATCTAGGCTCCTTGGCAGTCTAGGAGTTCAAAAAGGGAGCAATGGATTGCCAGGACTGATTCTCAGTATTTCAAAAAGCTGAAGGGAAAGGGTCTATGCTGCCCAGAGGAAGACTGCTTAGTCTCAGCAAGCCATCGCTTTCCATGGCCGCTGCCTGGCACCATGGCAACTTGGTGTGGTTATGGTTCCTCTCATCAGAATGCACTGGCTGGTAAATTTACACACCATTAATTAATTATATACCAAAAATTACTTAATTAAGCACCATAAAATTAGTTAATTATTAAAATGACTCTTGGATTAATAATTAATGTATGTAGAGTTCTTTGGGGTGAAGACAAAACTGTTTCAATCATAAGACCTATGGTAGTGATAGCTATAATTAAAGAAGTCCTGGATGATTAAAAATTTGGGAACCGTCTGTTTGGGCTGTGTCCCTTCTCTGCCATCTATTTTCGGTATAAATTTGAACAAGTCTGATTGTCTTCTTGTGGTCTCAGTTTCCCACTTATAAAATGGGCTTTGTCATGCTTGCCCTCTCTTTGGCTTGTTTTTACAGACAACTTAGATTGTGAGCACTTCTGAGCAAATGGGACACATGCTATGTCTCTTAATAAAGCTTTGGAAATTATATCTTCTCTTTAAGTCGGTGATAAATTGCTTATTCACCACCCCAGTGATAGTCTTAGTGGTCTGAAAACAGTGCATTTTCCTAGCAGAGCGTTGTGATATTTAAGACCTGGTTTGCACACTTGGAAAATTTGATGCAACATACATGAAGACTTTAGAATTTCTCAGAAGAAGGGTACAGAGACAAATCCAAAGTGTTGCTGTCATGACTGCTTTCCTAGTTTCTAAGAAATAGGGAACTGGAAAATTGAAGGAGAGATGGGGGAAAAGAAGGAAGGTAAGATTGTTGACCTGAAATCCAAGGCACCTTTTCCTGTCTCTGAATTTGAGGTGTTAGAAAGAAGGGAAGAGGCAGATAGATTAATCCCCTTGTGCCGTGTTCTGCTCAGACAGCCGACAGTGTGTGGTAGGGTGCTGTGGGGGAGAAGCCAAGTCAAACGAATGCACTGAGCAAAGGAAGAGAGACTTTGTCCAGGCAACTTCTCAAAACTATCGTGAAGCTGCATGTGGTGTGGGTGCAGGAGCTGCCCCGCTCAATCTTCTTGCTATTCAGAAGTATCACAGAATTCAGGGATTTACCAAGGCTTTGCGGTAAATATGTGGCTGCTGTAGCTTGGATTAGTCTGCAAAAAAAATAAAGGCAGCACCGTTCATAGACAGCTCATGTATCTTTCAGTTCATTTACATCGATCAGACCATGGAACCAGGCTGCCCAGACATTTCATTCTGGCCAGCGGGGGCTCTGTGGACAGGCAGCGTCCTCTCTGGTCCTCTAAAATCCATGTTAGTTCTCTAATCCCGTCTTCTGTTTTCCAGAAGAGTGAGTTAAACATTTTCTCCTCTCTCCCCTGGGATCCGCCCCATGGACTCACTTTAGTGGCAGAGGGAGAGAGAGAGGAAAAGTAACCTTGCCTCCAATCTTCCTGGATACCCACTCTCATTCAGTGGAGTGGAGTTGTCCAAAATTGTTAGTGGCATAATTAAATGGGAGTGATTTAGGGACATTTCTAGACTGTAAGCCCTTTGAGACAGAAATCATGACGGTCTCCTCTGTATGTGTCCCTCTGAGCCTTTCTCATAGACGATGATTAATAAATATTTACTGAAGTGCTCCACGAGCATTTCATTGAGTTCTCAGTAGCTGGTCATCCTTCTACGCTAAGGCTTCTGAAGTGGTTGGAATAAAATGGTGTCATTGGAGATTTTACCCAGGAAAGTAATACCCAGGGGAAAGAATTGTAGGAGAGAAAATTTGCATAAGACACGGCGAATGGACTCCGTAGGTCTAGGGGAGGTTGGCTCTGACTTAAAGCCATGAGAAAGTAGAGATCTTGCAGCCTTGAGCCTGACAGGGAGGGACAGTGAAGCCATTCCTTTTGAATCCTAGTTGACGGTGGCAAAGTAGGCAATTTGAAATCTCCCTTTTGAGATTCAGAGGTGGGATTTTGGAGACAAGTTCAAACCATAAGTAAGTAAGTAGTATTTGTAAGTTAACTTTGAGAGGTTATTTCATTAAGATTTCATGACTATTTTGAAAATGTGAATTTCACAACTGATATACTGTAAATGCTCCTGGCCCGAGAACCCTTTTCTTACTGTTTAAAATTGTTCTAGGGGTTCAGTGCTGGCCTCAGAACCCTGCCCATCTTGAGTCAAGAGATGGTGCCTTTAAATTCATTCAAAGCACTTGAAGAGGGAAAATTCTAAACTCAGTGCACACACCTAAGAAGGAAGTAAATGCTTAAAAGAAGTGATTAAGGGGTATCATAACAAAGAATTTGTTGCCGGTTGCAGTGGACTGTTTGTTACTTAGCAGCAACCTCAAAATCCGTAGGGTGCATGCCCAGGAAGAGGGAAGGAAGAAAATCTCAATCCAATTGGATTAGTTTCACTAGCCAACGAAAAATTACACATGATTCAGCTCAGCAGAGTCAGTGGGGAACTCAGTTGTAATTTAATCATCAGTTTGGAGTGCAGCTGAAATGAGATCTGCCGTACAGCTTAGTCAGTGGGATTTTTCATTCACTGTTGGTCATGGCGAGGTGTAGACTTTGATGCAGCCATTTTATTAAACCCCAAAGCCATTTCATTAAAATCATTGGTTCATCCTTGGAATTTTCACACATCACTTTTTTTTTTAAATTTACCAATTTCCAACTGAATTTTTTGGCCACAAAATACTTTATGACAGCAATCTAAGTATGACCTTTTTAAAAGGTCAAGCGATTCCTCTTGAACATTTGAGAAAAGGGGTCTAAGCAGCGGTCAGGGGGACATAGGCTCTGGGCTCAGCTTCTCCACAATAGGAGGAGACGACGTTTTTCCAATGGACAACCATGAAGGTTTAACCTAACGTAAAACTCAAGACTAATTCTGCTGAAGGATGGCGGGTGTTTCTGTTGACCAGTTAAAAATAGTACCGCTTTCTGATAATAACCTAAGGGCCATTAACAACTTACTTGGCCATCAGCTTTGAATTTAGGGAATTTACGACAGGTTTTAAACTCTGGGGGGGCGGACTGTAATTATTTCAAATCTTTTGGATCGAGTGCGATTTTATGAATAATTTTATCCTGCATGCATGTAACTTCTCATAAATCAAAACGATAGAAAATGAAACCACATTAGATCTGGCTTTGGGACATCGGGGAAAAAAAATCTCTTATGCCTCCTCAACCTGAGTTTCATGAACATTCAAGATAAATGGGGCTGGGGCTAGGTCAGGGGTTTTCCAACTCTTTTCTGAAGAGGATTCTCAGCGGGCTTCGGGAAGGGACAGGAAAGGTGCAGTAAATGGGGCTGAGGCCTCTCTGACACTGTTTCAGCCGGGGTGTGTGTGTGTGTGTGTGTGTGTGTGTGTGTGTGTGTGTGGCATATGAGATTTCTGTAACAATTAAAAACATTAAAAAAAATCACAGAATTAAGTAATCTCTGAAGACTATAAATTTTTCTTCCTTCCTTTCTCCCTCCTTCCTTTCTCCTTTCCTCTTTCCTCCTGTTTCAAAAAATGCAAGTAACAGAATGAAGAAATCAAAACGGCCTCTCGAGGGATGGGATGGGTCCACACTGAATTATGCTTCTGTGTGTTTCTTGTCACCATTTCCCCTAATGCCCGGAATCTCAGTGAAGGACCATCTTGCTCATTAGCCTTGTCCCTGCAGTGCCTGGCACGGTCCCCTGCACATAGTCTGGTATGTAGTAACATTTGTTGAATTGGATAGAATTGAAAAGCCCCTGAGACTCTTGAGCCCTTGCTTCTCCTGATTGTGCGTTCCCACACGTCCCCTTAGGTGCCCGAGGAGCGCGCCAATGTGCACTGCAGGCAGGTTGCACGTCCAGGCTCTGACTGCTGTTCAGGAGCCTGACTGTCAGCAGGTGCAGAGGGTCATCTCGGGTCTAGCTTTCTGAGACGAGCTGAGCAGAAAAGGTCTGCCCAGGCAGGGCCTGCCGCGTGCACCTGCACCACACTTTTCCACACCCAAATCCACACCCTTGGAAAGCCTGGTTGAGAGCAGGTGGCTAAAGACTAGGGAAAACCTTTATCACTTTGCTGAATGAAAAACAAAGATCATTTCATTATTTGCAAAACCTTTTTTTCCAGAAATTATCTTAATGATGCAGTGGTCTACAGATGCGAAACTTCTGTGAAGCAGTGTGTTCTTAATGTCTGGGCTGTTTGTTTCTGGAAAACCTGGAGGAAAAATATCTCCATTGGACACTCCTGTCCAAGTGAACATTTGGTTTACACAACTTACTTACGAGAGAGGTGTTACTTAAAACCATGTGATAGGGTTAGTTACTATCTTCATTGGATATTTCTACTGATTTCTAGATTTAGCTTGATGTACCTAAAAAAGAAATGTTTATTTTCATCCAAATGAAATAAATCTTGGATTTATTTTCATCCAAGTCTTTCAAGCAAGACTTGGGCTCAGAGTATTTAAGCACACGGGTTGCACTTCAAATCAGTTGTGAACACTTTGGGCTGACCGAAAGAGGACCTCGGCAGGGTCTGTCAGCTCCATTTGCCTTCCATAATCATCCCCTTAGTGAGGGGAGAGAGTCTCAGGTTGAGTGAAATTGTGTTTACCTGGCCTGACATCTGTGGACCTTCGGTTTGTCTTTAGTGTCTTGAGCGTCTCAAAGGAGGGGCTAAGATGAAACAAGCCACACGCAGACCTGCTTCTTTGCTTCCTCAGCATGGTTGTAAGTGTTGCTTAAACAGACTTGACACTGCAGGGCGAGCTGTTTCTTGTGTGCTTGGCAAACCTCTAAAAAATGGTTCCACTGTAAGGTCACCTACTGCTTCCTGTTTGTGGGACTTAGCCATGAACAGAGAGTTCCTTTTGAATCACAAAAGGAAATGCCTGAAAAGTTCTTCGTTCTGAGCTGGCTCTGAAACATACACTATACTTAAAATTTTTAGGCTAGGGGTCAATATCAATTTAGGCTAGGAGGGCTTCCATATCGCTAACCTTAAGGCAATTTGTCAAGAGCAAACTTCCACTTGCTGCATGCTAAATTCTGAATAGTCAAGAGTCTCATGACAGCATTATACAGAGGCCTGGATTTCTTCGAGAGTCATTATGGTGATTTTTAAATTTTGTTGGTGGGGACGTTAGAATGTATGGGCTAAAGCAGCTTAAACTATGACTTTATTCATCCAGGGCATGCTTTCCCTATTTCCATAGCTAACCAAGAGTTAGCTTTAATGGCTGAATTGGTAGGAAATTTCAAATATATCTTCTAAAAGATATGATAATCCTTCTTCTTTGACCCAGATTGTGGCCAGTAATTCTATATTATATCATTTATGCAAAACTGGTATTGCTACTCAATCTTCCAGAAAGGAAACACTTGACAGTATTCAATTACTTGTGGGCGTAAATACCCCAATCAGACTTGGAACCGAGGAGGTAAGAAAAAGATTGTGTGATTGATACTTCTGAAAAGAATAGTGATTATATCCAATTTTAAAGGTAGGAGAAGGCTGGGAGATGCCCACAGTGAATTATGTTTACCCTGAGAACAAACGCATTGCATCGGGATTTTAGGCATAAGCAGTATCATTGAAAGAAAGGCCCTTGCAGGTGACTAGGTAGAACCTGAGTGAGACAAAGCATCTGAGGTCTGGGATTTCTGCTGACACAGATTCTATGAGGATCACGGGAGACCCATACATTAGACGAAATGGCCTCTGAGGCACTTTCCAGCCCCCGGGTGACATGGTCTTACGGTAGCGTATCAGTAAATGAGAGGTGCAGGTACTCACGTGATATGATGCCTTGGTTAGCCAGCTGTTCCTGGGTCCTCCTCTGTTGAAGTCGTAACTGTAAGACTTAGAAAATGAAGTGTTAGTTTGTGAGTGGTGCTAAATAGGATTGCAATCACATATTTTCATCATACGTTGATAGGTCTTTTCATTTTATTTCTAGAATAGTTCTGAAAATCACTGTGAAGTACGTTTTTATTTCTGTCGTAGACGCAGAGAATGGAGGCGGAGAGAAGCTGATGGGGTCGCAGGGTTTTGCAGCAAGTCTGTACCAAGCGAGGATTAGAACACCGGTCTCCTCCTTGAAGTCAATGCTACTGTCATAGCGCCACACGCCCTCTCTCCCTGCTGTGTTGTTCACAAGATGAATATCATCAAATTCTGCTGGGGTGGCAGCCTGTGATACCAATAGGGAATTCAGAGTCTCCCCTGGGGTCAAATCCCATCTCTGCCCCCTTAATAGATGCATAATCCCGAGTGGCTATCTGAGGATTCTGAACAGTGAACAAAATGGGGCAGATTACAGAGGGGAGTTCAAACTTGGACTTAAGTGGCTTAGGTGGGGCTGTTTCCCTTTTTGAGGAGCTTTGCTCTGAGACTGGGCTCTTGTCATGAGTGGCAGGTCACAGGCAACTAAAACTCTAATAATAATCATAACAAAACCCCTGCTCATCTCTCTGACCAGAGGAATTATGAAAAAGTGGCCAGACAACATGGTGGATCACCAGAGAATGATGGAGAAATCATGCAGGGAAGAGAGTTGGAGAAACAGGAGGTCCCTCAATTTTGTACATGAACCCTGCAAGTTTTAGGTTGATCCCTTAATGACTTCCATGGAACAGACTCACAGCAGCATAGCACAGGCTTAAAATTAAACTGAGATTTGAACCGTCGTATACATAAGAGAGAGCTTAAAGTTTATATCTGCCTAGATTAATCATCTGCTAAAATAAAAAACACCAGTTTTTTATTTCCAGAGGACTGCAACAGAACTCAGAGTCTACATAACAGAAGACTCACAATGTCCAACATACAATCGAAAATTACACACAAAAAACTTGGAAAATATGACCCATTTTAAACAAAAAAGACAATAAACAGATGCTAACCATGAGATGAGCCAGATGTTGGAATTATCAGACAAGGACTTTAAAGTAGTTATTTTCAACATTTTCAACTATGTTCAATAAAGTAAAAGAAAGCATGCTTGAAATGAGAAAGGTAGGAAATCTTCGTAGCAAAATAGAACACAAAAAGAAACCACATGGAAGTATTAAAACAGTGTAACATCTGAGATGAAAACAATATTGGAGGGGCATAATAGAAGAATATCAGAGGAATGGGTCAGTAAACTTGAAGATAGATCAAACTGAAGGAGAGAAAAGAGGTGACAAAAAATGAACAGAGCCCCAGGGGCTGGTGTGACAATATCTAAAAGTCTAACATCAGGTAATTAGAGATTCAGAAGAGCAGAGGAGGAAATAATGGCTAAAAACTCCCCAAATTTTATGAAAGAAATACATTTACAGTCTCAAAAAGTTCAAAAACCCCAAACCTGACATATTCACAGAAAATCACACTGAGGTATATAATAATTCCATGGCTAGAAAAATCAAAGATAAAGAAAAAAAAATCTTAAAAATAGTTAGGGAAAACGCATTCTATAAAGGAAAATACTGGTTTAAATAACAACAGACTTTTCTCCAGAAACCACAGAAGCTAGAATTTAAAAAACAAAACAGAAACAACAAAAAAACTGTCAACAATAGAAAATGTCCTTTAGGAACGAAAGTGAAATAAAGATATTTTTAGGCAACGAAAAAATAAGATGATTTCTTGCCAATGGACTTCACTGCAAGAAATGTTTAAGTAAATTCTTCAGGATGAAGGGAAATGATATGAGAAGAGCACCTGGCTATCTAGGAATGAATAAAGAGTACCAGAAATGGTAACTATCTGAATAAAAATTAAGTATTTTTATTTTTCTTGTTAATTTTAAGAATATATATATATATATCATTAGAGTAAAATTTTAACATTGTCTCGTGATGCTATTAAGGCACATACATGTAACATGGATGCCAGCTATGAGAACCCCTCATGACTGCAGAGTTTCCACACTTTCCGTGCAGTGGTATAAAATTAACTACAAGTACATTACTGTGCAAGATTCAGGATCGTGTTGTAATCCCTAAAGCACTTATTTAATTTATTGAATAAATAAAAATACGAAGAAGTGTAACTAAAAAAATCTGGTAAATTAAATGATTAAAAATTATCAAGTAATCCAAAAGAAGGTAAGAAAGGGAACGTAAGAACAAAAAGTAGAGAAGCAAACAAAAAGCAAATAATAAAATGGTACATCTAAATTCAATCACGGCAATAATGACATTAAGTTGTAATAGTCAAAATGCTCAGATAAAATAGAGATTATCAGAAGGAATGAAACAAAAGCCAAATTTAATTATGTGTTGCCTGAAAGAGACACAGTTTATAAATGAAGACTCAGGTTGGCCAAAAGTAAGTAGATGGAAAGAAGATACACCATGCAGACAGTAAACATAAGAATATTAATTTTATTAATATAAGATAAAATGGACTTCCAGTCAAGAGTAATACCAGTAGAGTAAACTACATTTCATAATTATAAAAGAGAGAGTTCATTTGAAGGACATAGCAATTATAAATAGATATGCACTTCATAACAGAACCTCACAATACATGAATCAAAAATGGACAGAATTGAAGGAATGGACAATTTCAAAGTCGGAGCAGGAGACTTGAAGAGTCCTCTCTCAGCATTTGATAGAGCTAAATAAAAACATCACTAATGACATGGTGAATTTGAACAACGATAGCAAACATCTTGATTTAATTAATTAATATTTGTAGAGCACTACACTTAACAACTGCAGAATAGACATTGTTTCAAGTGTGCATGGTATGTATATTCACCAAGACATACCAGGCCATAAAGGAAGTTTTTTGTTTTTTAAAAAATAAATTTGAAATAATTGAACTCATATAAAACATATTTTCTGATCATTGAAATTAATTAGAAATCCAAAGCAATATGCTATTAAGGGAAATATTTGACAATACACTTCTAAATAATCTATAGGTCAAAGGATAAATCACAAGGGAAATAATGCAACATATTAAAATTTATCTCATATTGCAAGTAGCCTATATTATAACTTACGGGATGCAGATAAAGCAGTGATTAGAGGGAAACTTAGTTTTAAATGCTTATATTAGAAAAGGAGAAAGGTTTAAAATCAATGACCTAGCATTCTACCTTAAGATTTTAAAAAAAGTGTGCTCAAAGTAAGTAGAAGTTAAACAAAAATAAAGGCTAGAGCAGAAATCCTTAAAGTAGAAAACAGACAAGTAGTAAAGAAAATTAACAACACCAAAAGCTGGTTCTTTTCAAAGATCATCAAAATTGACAAAACCCTGATTAGACTATCAAGAAAAAAAGAACATTTACCAATATAGGGAATAAAAAATTGGTTGTAACTACACACCATAGACATTAAAAGAGAATATAATTAACAAACTTATGCCAATAAATTTAACAGCTTCGATTCACTGACAGAAAGCAGACATTTAAAAGACAATAAAAGAATATCATTAACAAATTTGTGACAATAAATTTAACAATTTCAGTAAAGTGGATACATTTTTTGAAAACTACAACTTACCAAAATTGAAGAAAAAAACATGAAATTTGAATAGCATTACGTTTATGAAATAAATTGCGTTGATCATTATAAATCTCCCTCCTCCCTCCATATACAAATATCCAAGCCCAGATGGTTTTATCAATGAACTCTGTCAAAATGTTGTGATAGGAATAAGTTGTTTTCCAACCTCTCCATCAAATAACACATTCTACATACACATTATACCAGTTCTAAGTAAGAATTCTCAATTAATTTGTCTTTTAATATTACGGATCTTAATCTAATAAAGAGAAAAGTTTATAGAGCTCTCCTGTTGTAAGAATCTGCCAATTTGAAGACTCTTTAAGTTCTCTAGACATTAAGCTATTTTGACTTAGATTGAGTCGGATGAAGGCAATAGAAATGGAAACGAAAGAGGAAAATATGCAGAACATTTTGAACAAAATAAATTGGAAGAATGTGGTGATATGAGGAGAATAGAAATATGTGTTACTATCTATCAAAGGGGTTGTTAGCCTGAGGTATTTACATATGCTGTAGGAAATTTAGCTTTTTTATGTGTGCAACTATGGCTGCAAATTGCATTTTTTTCCCCTTGGGAGTGGGTCCATAGCAGCCATCAGAATTCCTAAACAGAGCCAAGGCCTCCAAAATTTAAGCATCTCTAATCCGAAAATGTTAAAAATGAGACTATGCCTTAGAGTTACAGGATAATGAAGTTGGAAAAGAAGTCTGAAAAAATGGTAAGTTTAATTTTAGACAATCTGAATTTGGGGGTGACCTGGTAAATAATAAATAATGTGCCCGAAAAGCAGTTGAGACCTGGGATTGGAGAAAGGCTGAGAGGTCAGGACTAGGACATTGAAACGTCAGGACTGGGACACTGATTTGGGGTATCATCTCTAAATAGGTAGCTACAAAACCTTTTTAGCAAAATTCCTAAAGAAGGAGAGATACATTTTCAGAGGAAAGGGAATTGAAGAAATAGGTACATTACAAATAGCAAAAGGATAATATTGAAGATGAGCTAGTAGAGGGAAAAATGCATTCTGTGCATCTACTATAAAGAAATTGTGGCCGGGCGCGGTGGCTCACGCCTGTAATCCTAGCACTCTGGGAGGCCGAGGCGGGCGGATTGCTCGAGGTCAGGAGTTTGAAACCAGCCTGAGCAAGAGTGGGACCCCGTCTCTACTATAAATAGAAAGAAATTAATTGGCCAACTAATATATATAGAAAAAATTTAGCTTGGCATGGTGGCGCATGCCTGTAGTCCCAGCTACTTGGGAGGCTGAGGCAGAAGGATCGCTTGAGCCCAGGAGTTTGAGGTTGCTGTGAGCTAGGCTGATGCCATGGCACTCACTCTAGCCTGGGCAACAAAGT